TTCCTTCCTTCCTTCCTTCCTTCCTTCCTTCCTTCCTTCCTTCCTTCTCTACTTCTAAAAAGGGTATATTGAGGTCCCAAGTCATCATAGTTTGTTTATTTCTCCTTGTAAATTGTTTAACTTTTTCTTTTAAGTATTTAGATGCTATGCCACTGGTATGTACAGAAGGTGTCCCAAAGTCTTAGCACATTTTAAGCTTTAATAGCTATTTTAATTTTATTTTAGTTAGTAGGCATTTAAAAATTATTAAAGCATAAAATACACTAAAATTTTTGGGATACTCTGTATATCTAGTACTGATTAATTCATTGTCTGTGGTGCCTTTAATCATAATGTAGTTTCCCTTTATATCTCTTTTTATAGTTGTCTTATCTGAGATTATGGTTCTGACCTATGATTTTTTGAGTTTACCTGAAGTATAATAGGTTTTCTCCAGCTCTGTATCCTAACTTTGTGTGATTCTTTATGTTTCATGTGTATTTCTTGTATTCAACATATTGTTGGATTCTGATTTCTAATCTTTTTTGTTATCCTCTTCTGTTTTTGCTGTTTTTGTTGGAAGTTTTATTGTGGAGTTTGACTCTTCTTTTGGGTTCGTCTACTAGGCATCCCTAGGGCCATATTATTTCTTTATTGTCACTGTTTTCTTTTGTTTCCTCATGTTTTAAGCCTTATTACCTAAATTGAAACTTTTTGTTAGTGCCAGGTTCAGCACACTTATAGAGAATGTTGGAACCTCAAGGGTGCTCAGACCAGCAAGTTATAAACTTTCAATGCCTTAAGCAGTACAATCTAGTCCGTGTTCTGATCTCTGTCCTTGTGATCCAAGCTTAGCAGGCTCCAGACCTGGGTTCAGGGTCTCAATAATACAGCTGCTGGGTTCACTCCCTCTTATAGATAGCTACTGGACAGAACTGCAGGTCCAACATTGGTCCATGTTCTCTGCTCACAGTACACAGCCACAGGCCCTAGCCTGGTGAAGATGAAAATCTCTTTCATAGTGACAGTCACCATCTTGCTTCTGTCTTTGTTCCAGGCCAAGGTAGGAACACAGCAGAAGTTGCCAGCCTCGGCTTTGGCACTGGGAGGCTTCCTGGTTGGATCCGTTCAGAAGTGCCCAAAGGCCTCTGCCTCTCTTCCTTCTAGGAAAAGAGAAGACTTAGTGAAGGACATGATTATAGAATAGTAGAATTAACACTAGAAGGGACTCTAGATTCATGTAGTCCAATCCTCTTATTTTATTTAAAATTTAAAAAATTTCTATGTATACATATATTTATTTTTGAATAACAAAATATGCCTTCTCACTCTTCCACTTCCCCCCAATTGAGAATTAAAGAAAAACAAACGCTGTCACAAACGTATATAGTCAATCAAAACATATTTCCACATTGGCCATGTCAAAAAGAAATTGTCTCATTTTGCCTTCTGAGTATGCTTCTTCATCAGTCCTTTGGAATTATGGTTGGTCATTCATTACACTGATAAGAGTTTTTATTTCTTTCAAAGTTGTTTACCCTTACCATATTGCTGGCATTGTGTAAATTATTCTCTTGGCTTTTTTCACTTCACTCAGCATCAGATCATACAAGTCTTCACAAGTTTCTCTGAAACTATTTCCATTGTCATTTATTATAACACAATAGATCCAGTCACATTTCTATACCATAGCTTTTTCATCTATTCTCCCATTTATGGACATCCCCTCAGATTCCTGTTCTTTGCCATATCAAAAGATCTATAAGCATTTTTGTACATTCTTGGAGTTTGTTTTGCTTATGATTAATCCCTCCCTTAATCCACCCTTCCCTATCTTCTTAATCCACCTCCTTCACTTTCCTTCTTATTTCCATGTTGAGTGAAATGTATTTTTGTACCCAATTCTCTCTCTCTGTGTGTATGTATGTATGTATGTGTGTTCTTCCTTCCTTTAACCAGTTTAGGTGAGGGTGAGGTTGGACTATCTGTTGCTGTCTGTCCCCCACTCCCTCTTCTTTTGAATAGAGGTCTACCTGTTCACTCTAATTATGTGAGATAATTTCCCCTAACTTTCCTTTCCCTTCCTTCTCACCAAGTATATCCCTATTCCTTTCTCTTTCCATTCTTCTCTTAAGATCAAGACAAAAAGGACTAAAATGAATCTCATGCCTTCTATCTAATTAGACTTCCTCTGTGACCCCTAATGATGATAGGGCTGGGGAAGGGGGGTATCACATGTATCATCTCTCCACATTTGCATGTTCCTTATCAATATTCATTCATGTTTCCCCTAAGTCTTGTGTTTCCACTTCAAAGTTTCCCTGCAGCTCTATTTTTTTTTCCATCAGGAATGCTTGGAAGTTCTCTATTCTTTCATTAAAGGTCCATTTCTTCTCCCTGTAGCATTATACTGAGTTTTGCTTAAGAAGTTATTCTTGGGTGTAATTCCATATTCTTTACCTTCTGAAATATTGTATTCCAAATACTCTTCTCTATACTGGCAGCTACTAAATTGTAAGTGATCCTAACTGTAGCACCTTGGTGCTTGAATTTTTTCCCTCTGGCTGCTCGCAGTACTTTTTTCTTTGATCCAGAAACTCTGGATCAAATCTGGATTTTAGCTGTGATGTTCCTGGAAATTTTTATTTTGAGGTTTATTTCATGAGGAGACCAGTAGATTCTTTCTTTTTCTTCTTTGCTCTCTGGTTCTTAGAGATGTAGGTAGTTTTCTTTCAAGATTTCTTGAGATATGATGTCTAGGCCCTTTTTTGGTCTTGGCCTTCAGATAGTCCAATAATCCTTAAAGTTTTTTTCTCCTTAAACTTTTTCACATCAGTCATTTTTGCAATGAGAAGCCTTACATTTTCTTCTTTTTTTTCTTTTAGCCTTTGGGTTATTATTTCTTGTTATTGCACATGGAGTTATTGGCTTCTATTTATTCTGTTCTAATTTTCCAGGAGTTTTGTTGCTTGGGCAAGATTTTGTACCTCTTGTGCCAAGCTTGTTAATTCCTTTCCCAGTTCTTTCTTTCATAGCTATCTTTCTCTTCCAATTTTTTTCCTCAAGTGTTTTCATTTCATTTACAAGAACATTTTTTAAGCTTTTGCTTCAACTTTTCCAGGAATTCTATTTGAGTTTGTGCCCAGGCTGTGTTTTTCTCTGAGGCTTTGCTTGTAGATGTTTTGGAGTCATTCTCTTCTGCTTTTGTGTCTTGGAGCTTTCCTGCCACCATAATAGCTCTTTGTGGTGGGATTCTTTTTTTTAATTTATAAATTTTTTATAAATTATAAAAATATAAATTTTATATAATAAATTTTTATATAAAATTTTATAAAAATATTTATAAAATAAAACCTATACCTTTTCAGTCTTCTTACCCCTTGTTGTCCCTCATGTCCTCTTTGACCTAGTGACACTGGCCTCCTTCCTGTTCCAAGTACAGGACATTGCATCTCTAGACTCTGGGCATTTTCATTTACTGTTCCCTATGCCTGGGATACTCTTCTTCCTCATCTCCACCCTCTGGCTTCCCTGGCTTTCTTTAGATCTCAGCCAACCTTCTACAAGGTTCTCAGTCCTTCTTAATTTTAGTGCCTTCCTTCTGATACTATCCCCAATTTCTTGTTTATATATAGCTCGTTGCATGTTGTCTTTCCCATCAGACTCCTTCAGAGCAAAGACTGTCTTTTGCTCTTCTTTGTATCAGTAGCACTGTGTTCCCAGGGCCAGGAACGTAAGAGACGTTTAATAAATGCTTACTGATTTTGACTTTTACAGGGTGAGGAACCTG